CACGTTTTTAACTGACCTGAGGTGGAACAACTACATTGAATCAATAGCTGCATCTACCGCGAGGAAAATTGGTTCACTGTGCCGTGCCAGAAGGTTTTTCTCGTTTGAGTCCATACTACACATTTCCAAATCTACCATTCGCCTATATTTGGTCTGGCGCCGCCGCTGTTTATGTCGAGGGTCTCGACAAAAGCCAAAGACGGATTTGCAATGTGACTTGGCACCTCGATTCCAGTCACTTTCTCACAGACGTGATGTGGCTTCCCTCTGTCTTTTCTACAAATATTTTCATGGCGTTTGCTCTGACGAGTTATTTTCCCTGGTGCCCCGACGGCATAAATTTAAGCGTGCTACTAGGTTGGCATCTAGGTCCCACCATTTTACTCTTAAAACAGTTAAATGTAACCGCCTATTCTACTTCAACAGGTTCTTCACTCGCACTTCCCGATAATGGAAGTCCCTTCCTCTTACTTGCTTCCCCGATAACTACAATCTTCAAAAATTTAAATGTAACATCAATCGTCGTCATCTGATGCCTTGATCCCTGTTCTTCTCTTTATCCTTTCCTCAACTTCCTACGTACCCATTTTTTTTCTCTTACCTTCACTCTCTATAACCCCTTGCGCACTAGTGGCACTCTCGCCTTGTTTGGGGTGAAATGATTAAAAATAGAAACAGAGAAGAGCAGTGAATACCTTATCTAACGAGCTTCTGCAATTGGTTGGCAGAACGGGAAATGAGAGAGATAAAAGAAAGACAAATCTTATTAAGGACAGGTAAGCCATTATTGTCTACGTCCTAAAGGGTCAAGGCACATAGAAGAAGCAGAAGAAGCATAAGTAAATGGATGACGGAACAGGGTTTAAGACAGATAACAAAAAGACAAAATTTACTAAAAGAAAAGACAGGAAATTATGGAGAGCCATGATCGCCTACGTCCTTGGACTCGGCACAAGAAGGATTCACTTCAGTGCAACAGCTAATAAGAACAAATGCCGCTAATTGCAAAAGAGAAAAGCTTTTAGCTTTCACAACAGACATCAACATGATCACGCATCGAATCCTATAACTGAATTATGGCAATTTATAGATAATATGATAAGATAATTATTATATGATCATTATATTATATATTAATGAATCAAAGTACATATATTATATGGTATAATATCATAATTATTATATGATTATTATATAATATCAATGCTTATATGTTATGGAGTGGTTTCACAGTGGAGGCTTTTATTTGTATTAAGTCGGTCCTAAAATAGGTTCGACGTACAATAACTTCATATAATAGGTAATGACGCAGAGAAATCTAGTTGTGGTCGCTGATACTTTAGTATCCGACTAACGGTCGTCCGGCATCGACTGACTGACCGATCCACTGAGCGACTCCTACTATTCCTACTTATTATAGGTGGGAGAGTCTATTAACAATAGAATAGGTGTGTTCCACTATAACACTATAAAGTGAAACATCATCTTAAAGAACCTTTTTTTGACATGACTGATGCTAACCTCCAGGAGAGCAACTCGTTGCTCCTTTGTGGTCTCATATTTTCAGTTGACATGAAATGCAACGATTATATATATTATACTTTTCACATTGCCCTAACGTAGCTTCCTGTATCTTGTCTATGAATCTTCCTGGAATTGTTCTGATGACTAACCCCCTATCTCAACATTATGAATTTAAGCGCAGTTCTAGATTAGCCGTGAGGTATCAGTTTCACGGTGGAAATTGCTAGTTGTAACCGTAAGTTCTATGCTAATAGTTTCTTCTCTTGTACTTCTCGTTTGCGGAACTCTCTTTCAGTTTTCAATTTTCCTGTCAAATAGAATCTTCAAAAATATAAATGCAATGATAATTGTCATCGTCTGTTTTCTTAAATCTTTTATTGTCTTCTCAGACAATAATTTAGAAAAGAAAAAATGAATATTCTGTTTATTTATTTGATCCCAACATTAATGAAGACAATTGTTAATGTGGGCCTTAGCTTGAACTATTTAGTCTACTACAACTCTATACGTTTAACTCTGTGTCTAAACTCTGAAATTTTATTCCCTATTTATTTTTTCTCCTACCCCAATAGGAGTTGATAGGTTCACCTATCGTTCGGGTCACACGCCTCTCTAGTCTTTTGAACAAAAGTAGAGGTTTGTCCCTTGTTTCCTGTTTAGGATTGGGTTACCAGTTCCTTCTAATGTCTACTTCTACACTATAATTTAACGTTTCCGACTGAACTCTATTGAATTTTATTAACTAATTAAATCTTGTCTTCTTCAAGTCTAGGGTTAGCTGTTATCTTTCCTATATAACCCCAAGTACTTCTTGACCTTTCTTATGCTAATACAACACTACACACTACCACCCTCTACCTTGAGTGTTTCTTGGGCCTACAAGTGGGTGAACATTAGTAAAAATAAACAAAAAATCATTCAAACAAAAATAAAAACTGTGTTAATATTGCTCGTCTAATCCCACAAAAATATTTATAGAACACTTTAAGTAAACTCCTCATGAATACAAGGTGCGATGAATAAATTGTCATCTAAATTATACAAAAATTAAAACGACACTGACATCTCATTTTGACAGATATACAAGGTGCGATGAATAAATTGTCGTCTAAATGCCGGCAAAAAGAAAATAAAACACTGACATTTCATTTTAACAGATATATTTACCAAAATTACACAAAAATATATTGAATTACTAAACAGTAAATTTTTCATTAAATCGCCATTTGCTTCAACCACGACCTCCAGACAACTTCAGGATCTCCTACAACTGTTCTGGACGGTCTCCTTTTTATGTTGGTGAATGCTGCAATAATCAGTTCATCTTTGGCATTACAAGGAGATTTGCTGGTCTCTCGCTCAACTGCGTCCCACACAAAATAATCAAGTAGGTTGCAGTCTGGGAAGTTAGGTGGTCAGATGTAAGGGTGATGTGCAGTTCTTAAAAGAAATTGTCTGACATCTATTAGGTTCTCGTGTGTCATAGTGCAGAGTCCTGTTGTCAGCCATAGTGTCTCCTAGCAGCCACACTCTTGACTCAGGACAGCACTACCTCTTCAAGGCACTTGGTATAAACCTCCGTAGTGAGCCTGAGTCACTCACCAACAAATTCGGGAGTTCTTTTCTTATCAGAATGAGTGAATTTTCCGAGCTGCCTTAACTTCCTAATCACTATTAGACTCATCCAACTCTTTCTGAATCCTCTGTACTGTCCTCAAATTGACACCTAGACACTCTGAAATATTCGTATTGGAGCTTCCGATGTAAATGCCAAGGAGTACAGCATGCCGTTCCCAAAATTCTGGCAGAGTGAATTGCATCATGGTGCTCTTTTACTCACAGACGGTCTCCAACTAACCCGATTATATTGTGCAGTGGACAAAATCAAAAACAAACAACGCGCATGCGCGAGATTACAAATATAAAAGGACGACAATTTACCCATCGCAACCTGTATATTTTTCAACCATAAAATCCCATCAGAGTCCTGTTGCCAGACATAGGGTTTTCCTGCAGCCACCCTCTTGACTCAGGTCAGCCTAACCCTAACCTCCTCAAGTCACTTGATGTAGGCCTCCGTGTTGAGTTTGAAATTCTGTGGGAAGATGAATGGAGGCGTAACCTCGCCATTACAATTGATCACACCAAACGCCTTCGTAATCACCATTAGACTCATCCAACTCTTTCCAAATCCTCTGCTCTGTCCTCAGATTGATACCCAAATACCTTGAAATATTCGTATTGAAGCCTCCGGCGCGAATGCCAAGCAGAAGAGCAGGCCGTTTCCAAATTTCTGGCGGAGTGAATTGAGTCTTGATGCTCTTTTTCTTATAGATGGTGCCCAACTGACCCTACTGTACTGTGCAATGGACAAAATAAAAAACAAACAAGACTTATGCGCGAAATTAAAAATATAAAATGACAACAATTTACCCATCTATAGTATATAAGTTAAAAGTAGACAGATAATTATCCTATTTCAACAGCAATTCCTACATCAGCGCTACTGATCACCAACGCCATTTCTGTAACTGTCGCCATTTTCCGATTTTATTATTCTCTTAAAAGAGCATTCTTATAGTTTTATTGGCAGTATTCATAATTGCAGTTACAAACAATTGTACGCTTGATTTATGGTCCTTGCATAGATTCTTGGCAGGAGAAGAAAATATTAATTATTGTGTCATTGGATATCAGGGAGTCATAAATTGTAAAAGGATAACACTTACTATCAAGGCTGACTTTTGTCAATATTGATTATTATACATCACGAAATCGATTCTTTATTAAATATTACAAATCTTTCAGTTGATTACAAGGAAAACATTTCTGTCATCATCCTCATCATAAGGCCCAATGATATCTCAAATAGACCTGTGAGCAGCACTTGCAGTTTGTTTTTTTTCCGAAGATCTTGTGGGACGTATGAATTAGGTTGGGTAAAGAATGCAAACGTCAGTTTGATAATTCGTCGGTCTCAAATTTCTGCATTTCTGTAGCTAAATTCAACGGCCTACATCCAACTCTCACACATGTCTCCAGGAACTCGCATAGCCACCGCGACGGCCACACGCCGGTCACCGGCATCGACCTCCTAACCCTTTAGAAACTGTATGATGGTAGACGGAAGGGTTTCCCTACCCGACCGGTGAAGAGGAACCCTAACCCACCTGTGGCAAGCGGCCATTGGCCAATCGTCAGCCTCAGTGTAGGAGCTGCATCTCAGAGGTCAACGGCTTTACCAGTGGGCGGAGAAACTTCTGAGAGGGAAGGACGAGATAATCTCAACATACCCCAGTGCAAAGGGCCAGGCAAGCCATTGCACTATTTTGTCTTGAATGACGATATGACCCACAATTGCAACAGAAATAAAAGGGAGAGGTGACCACAGGGCGGCGCAAAATACGCTAACTGGATAAATGAATGAATTAATGAAATTCTTTATTTGTGAATTTGTTATTCAAATTTTCTCGGTTTTCGGCGATATCACATTGAAACATTGGTTCCCGTACGATCACCGAAGTAAAGCAAGATCGAGCCAGGTCAGTACCTACAAGGGTGACCGCTTGGAAGTACCAGATACTGCAGTCTTAGATGCACGGGTGTTGTAATGGACTTACGGCCATATCATGTTGAATCAACGGTTCCCTTATGATCAACGAAGTAAAGCAATATCGAGCCTGGTCAGTACCTACAAGGGTGATCGCCTGGAAGTACCAGATACTGCAGTCTTAGATTCACGGGTGTTGTAATGGACTTACGGCCATATCATGTTGAATCATCGGTTCCCCTACGATCAACGAAGTAAAGCAAGATCGAGCCAGGTCAGTACCTAGATAAGTGACCATTTCGGAATACCAAATGCTGTAAGCTTGGATGTGCGTGTGGTGTAATGGCTGATGGTTCGGAATTGTTAATCAGAGAGCCGAGTTCCAATTCCAATTGGGTTCGTTGGAATTCACTTACGTGCAAATACCATAAGAATTGGTATAAATCCACATCTTCTCCCTTAGTTAATGGTTAATTAGTATGACTTCTTTCACCAAACCATCCTTATTTCCTCCTCCCAAAAATATTCTTACAATCTAAAACAACTTTCTGGTTGTAAATAAACTACCGAACAACGAAATCATTCTGATAATAAATCCTTCTATATTTATGTATAAATGTCTCAATTTGTTATGATATATATATCTGTATAATTTTCTAACTACAAAACCAGGAGTCATACAAAGTCCTTCATAACAATCTCATCTTTTTGTGTCGATTAATTTTCGCGGAACTTGTGTGATGTCTCCTGTTACAGCAGTATATAGGGAGTAATTCAACTCATTAGGTGTTACTTGAAGGACAATGTCGACAACCAAAGTTCTTTCCTGGCAATGATTGCCAGTTTTAAAGTTCAATGCACCTGATCAATCAATTCATTGATTTGTGCATATTAGTGTGTTGCACGTAGTCTGTGGAAACCTATTATATTCAACAGTTTTGAAAACAATTCCAGTTCGAATTGACTATTTCTGTCCGTAACGAGATAGAGGAAAACTTCAAATCCGGATATCCACCCGTCGACGAAAGCCGAAGGAATACGTTTCTATCCATCGATACACGTTAGTAAATATTAATAATGTGAGAAATAGGGGGCCAGTAAAATTTTTCACTATTGTTAAAGGACCAACTATATCCAGGTGCACTGTTTGGAAAACGATTAGTAGGTAAATCAAATGGCTGAATTTCAATCTTTGTATGCTTGGTTATTTTTGCTTCCTGACAATGCTGGCATTCCTTGCACCATGCTTTTATTGATTTGCTCATTGTCGGCCAACAATACCTCGATCATTAGTCCTGGGTATGACGATAAACTACATCTGGCAGCAAGGTCTTTGATCAAGTGATTGTAGGTGTTTAGTAGTGTAGAACCACCTCTTAATTGCTGTTGTTCCCATGTCCCCCCTGATCCGAGGTGGTAGCACCTGTTAAGCTTCCAGCTATTGGAAAATAGTGTCCTGATTTTTGTTTTGTAGTTCATTAAGAAAGTATGAAAATACAATATGATAAAAATACCTGCAATATATTTAAAAAATGACCAGTAATAATACATTCTTTTAGCAAAATGACAATCAATGCAGCACTAAAGCGTGAAAATACATTTTTATAATAAAAATACCAGCAATACTTTCATCATCTACAAACTACATATTAAAAAAAAACAAAAACACGTTCGCCCTGAATGTATAAAATTATGTACCAAATATGTGTACTTAAAGCCATAAAATTGCGTTGAAAATATGTAGATTTCGGCATTAAATAACCCATAGAGGTTTATATGATAACAAAACTAACTAAACCGAGCCTCGATCTTATCTTACCTATTGACGCGGATATTCCAAGATGTGGTAGATTTATACTGAATATCGAATACTTTTTTTAAGCTCTTGCGTTACAAATGTCGTGGAAAGACTACTGACACGTCACATAGAAGTTTAATGAGTTTCAAGTCTGAAAATCCTGGCTCATACGAGATATAGAGAGTCAGATAAAAAGTCCGGGAGGAAGTAAATAGTAAAAGGCTTTATATACTTATTGTGAGAGCTATCTGATTGGCTGGTTGAACTATATCTTTTTAGAGATGGTGACATTTTGGTCCCATTGTTGTCATTTATTTCTTTTCTTACACCCTGATTGTGAAAACGTTCTGATAGGTTGGTCGAACTATGGCTTTGTTTGCCTGACGTTTTTTTTATTATCCGTCTATTTTTTAGAGATGGTGAAATTTTGGTCTTGTTATTTATTTTTATTTATTTATTTCTCTATTACCACAGGGTCACTGTGCAGCAGAGTACATGACAATCTTCATCCATATATTTCAGTGGCATGTCAATGTCTGAGTCTCTGTGGCTCAGTCCATTCAGACAATTTGTTTCTTTTTGACGCTTCTTTTGTCGAATGTGGTATCTTGTAGGATGACAGTGGAAAGACAGTTGAATCTTGTGATATGTCCATATCATTTCAACTTACTCTTTATGATAATGGTTATGAAATCTCACAACGGGTCTGTTTCTTTCTGATTGTGTTTTACACTTAGTCATTTATGATGTGTTCTACATAGGAAATGCCGAAGATGCTTCTGCAGCATCTCAGTTCTAATATTAAGTCACTCTTCCTACAATTTATATATTTACAAATGCAGCTCAGATTGAAGAATCGGAGAGAAGAGTTTGATTTTCAATCGAATTCATTACCATGCAGTGTTGATTCTATGTCCACACTGTTTATATACTGATTTACAAGGGATTCCCAGATACTCTGGTTCTTAAAAGATATATGTTTCGACAGAATGAGGATGGTGACACTGTGTTATATTCAATAATCATGGTGACAGAAGCAAAGATAAAATCATTTCATCCGAATAAATAAAAAAAGAATCAACACTATAAGACAAGAAACGAAACAATGAAAGCTTATGTACTTTTCTTTATTTCTCTTCATTATACATTGAATGACATGTTGATTAAACTAATGCCATTATAAATCTTTGTGTTGTGTGTCATTGAAAGAAACCCCGAAAAGAATGAAATTCTGTTTGAATGTGGAGTACTGGTCTGTGTCTGGTGTATGTATGTAATGTCTGGAACAGTCAAAGAAATACTGAATTGAGTAAAAAAAAAAAAAAACTGTGAGTTTTGAAGAGAATACGCTTAGCTTGGCAAAACATTACAGAATCTTACATTTTGTATAAATAGTGTTTTTTAGCCTGTAACTAGACACATTTTTGTTTGTCTGGAATGTGAAATTATTAGTCTGAAGAAGTTGTTGGAACAAAACATGCCACCTAAGAGTTTTACAAATTTACCTTTTGCTTACACACATAGCTTACGGCTATATCACATTAAAACACCGATTCTTGTACGATAAAGTTAAGCAATGTTGAATCTGGTCAGCACCTTGATGGGTGACTGCTTTGAAATGCTAAACTATGATGTGCAGGTGGTGTAACGGTTCGTAATTTGAAATCGAAGAGCCGAGTTCTAATTCCTAGTCGGATTCGTCATATTCCCTAATGTGCAGATATGGGAAAGATATTGGATCCACCTCTCCCTCCCCAGTTATGGGTTAATTAGTAGGAGTTGTATTAGTAAATCATTATTAGCCCCATAAAAAATCTTACATTTTAAAATATTTTCCGGCTTTAAATATCCAGCAAAAATTTGATAAGCCGTAAAAAACAAATAAATCAATCACCCAACACATAGATATACGTACATATATACTGATATAGACAGACTTGGTCTGAAGATTGCACCAATACATAAAACGGACAGTCTCCATGTAGTGTTGATTCCTTTGTCCACGCTGTCTATATCTCTAAATGATCTCTCTCCAATATTTAGCAATATATTCCTATAAATATAGCAAATTTCATACATATATATTCATACACGTTTCATTAAATAATATAGACAAGTGTTGTCTATTTATTTTATATAAATTTTTTTCGTAACGTCTGATAAATTTAATAATATTATCGTTGAACGAAGAAAGAAATTCACAATATTGATCCATATTTTTTAATACAATCTAAGCTTTCGGCTTACATAAGCCATTATCAAAGATCTCAATTACAACATATTAAGCAATATACGGACAAGACAGTGATGATAGTCTGTCATTGTTTACATAGATGATTTCTAAACACGCGCATATATATACACTTATTAAATCATCTATTAATATTTCGTAGCGTAACCGTTATTGTTAATTACATCATGTAGACTTTTAGAATAGTCCCCCACAAATTTCTTGCTCGTTTCTTGGCTAATATTTTTCCATTCTTCACGACAAAATTCCTTTAGTTCATGCAGGTTTGGTGGTTCTTTCTTTGAATTTTCAGTTTTAGCTCTCTCCATAATTTTTCAATCGGATTGAGATCTGAATACTGACTTGGCCATTTTTGAACGTCTATTCTATTTGAACTTATACCATAATTTTGTAGGTTTTGCAGTATGTTTAGGACCATTGTCTTGTTGAAAAACCCAACTTCGTTTCAAGCTCAGTGAATGTGCACTCGGGCGTAAATTTCACTCCAAAATATTCCTATAATACGCTCCATTTATCCTTCCTTCTATTATTTTAATGTTCTCTGCACCTTGGGCACTAAAGTAACCCCAGATCATGATCGATCCGCCTCCAAATTTTACTGTTGGGATAGTATTCTATAGTTAATTCCCCTCTCCAAGTTCACCACCGCCTTAACCAGGTATTGAACTCACACTCTTTGGGTCCTGTCACTGGATGTAACTAACACCTTTATCCACTGTGCCATGTGTCCTCAAGGAGAGGGGAATTAACAGGAGATAACTGATAACTAACATCCATTAGACATGGCACGTGGAACTAGACATGTTTCTATCTTTTCTTTCCGTTGTACACATAATTTCAATCCGTTTTTTTTTTATAGTTTGCACCATCCTTTCTGCTAACCCGTTTGATTCCGGATGGTATGGGGGATTATATGGTTTGCATCCAAATTTGTTCAACCATTGGCATTGTTCCTCGTCACAGAACTTTTGAACGCTACTAGAGTTTTCGCAATTTCACTTCTTGAAAATATGATCCTTATAGTTTGTTTCACGGCCAAAATCCTGTATTACTCCTGGCCATCCTGAATACGAATCTACCAGTATTAATAATAACCCCACATGCGCGTGATCCATGTGTACTCAAGGTTGGGATTCTTTAGGCCATGTATGTGTTTTTGTCTATTTTTACACCGTTTTATGTATTCTTCTCTATCTGTAGAATAGCCTCGCCACCATTGTGCAGACCTTATTCCACAATGAACATCGTCATGTATACTTTTTATAATTTCGC